CCCCATCAATATACCATTGGATGCCGATTCCCATTTGCTTTCGGGGATTGGTAACGTATGCCTTGTAACAATTGCGGTACGCCTCACCAGTGTTCAACTGACTGATTTTGGTACTCGTTTTAGGTGGTGGAGCTAGTGGATCGTTATCGAAAAAGCAGAAATCGTCGTCCTTGAGGCGTGGATCGGCAAGCAATTGCCACACACAATGGCGAGCATCGTGGCACACCACCTTGATGTTAGCACCTGAATGTGGAAGCACAAGGTCTTTTGTGAAAGGGAATTTGCCACCCATGTTGTATCTTGTCATGAGGAAGCTCATCAACTTTTTCCGGCTCAAGTACTCCGGAACCTCACCAAGCTTCTCGTCACCCAATCGGGCTCCAGTTTCATCCAAGTGCCATGTCAACACATCATCATACGCAGTCAAAGGCGCCTTGTTCTTTCGAAGGATATCCATCAATTTGACACCCCGAGCCTGTTTCTTATCCAAGGGGAGGAATGTCTTCTTTGAATCTGCACAATATTGCCGGAATTGGTTGATGTTCCTATCGTCTGGAGGTTCATTGTCATGGTTCCATTCCTTGGGGGAATTTGTACCAGGGTAGCTGTTGATCCACCACTGCTGGTCTCATCATCATCTTCATTACTATCATCATCGTCTGTGTCTTCTTGCGAATCGTCGTCACTTCCTTCCTCATCAGTTGCCTCTATGGCTTCCTCATCTGCCTCTCTTTTGCTTCCTCATTGCCGTCATCTCGGGTACCAAACCGCGGGTCAGCTGCTGGATTTCTATTGTCTTCCTCGCTTTCAGAACCAATACCACCACCATCTTGCATGGCCCAAGCAATTTGATCTTCCTCCACCATGTCTTGTGGAATGGCTGGCATTTGACTCGATGTGCCTCTCTCCTCTCCTGCAGATCTTCTAACTTGCCGTGGTGCTTTAGCGGGTCTTCCAGTGTCAGTGGCACCAAGCCCTGCAGTAGTCATGTCCCCTTTTCTCCTAGTACTAGTACTTCTTGTTGCTTTGCCAATGCCAAGTGCATTCTGCCTTGCTGCAATGCAACTCCGAGATTGGTTGGTGTGAGCACTTAGTGCCCTCTTGCTTTCAAACCAAGCTTTACAGTAGTCGCAATACCAATAACCCATGATACAACTAGTAGTAGTAGCTAGCTAGTAGTAGTAATTGCCGATCGCTAGCCCGTATAAAGGAACTGTAATACCTTAGGCAAAGTCTACACGACCTTACAAAATGTGAGTGTGTTACCAAAAGCTAACCCCCAAACCGCTCTGTACCGGATTCTGTATGTAGTTTCCATGTTCATTGGTATGGCATAGGGGACAAAACGGGACCACAAAATTGGTCGGTACCTATGGGGTTGGGAATTTAGGATGCATGCAGGGTTCCCAAACGGTGCATACTGCCACACCCAATGGAGAACCCAGTACATGTTCCACAACAAACACCATCCAAATCCGGGAGCAATGACGTCACCAATCGCCTAGGGACGCATGTCGTTCGGTACCTTCCAGACCTCGCTGTTTTCGCGAGACCCCATTATGCGCTTCTTAGATGGAGCAATGACGTCACCAATCGCCTAGGGACGCATGTCGTTCGGTACCTTCCAGACCTCGCTGTTTTCGCGAGACCCCATTATGCGCTTCTTAGATGTTCCACATTGGCTCATGGGGAGTTGCCAAACAACAGGCAGCACGCCCCAGCAAGTACTGTACCAACGAACAGTGATTGCCGCAGGACGATCCCATCAGCCCAGGGAGTCCTGCATGTAATAGACACAACGGTCGTCAAGTCCAAGAAGGACCGCACACCCTTTGGAGGACAAACGACAACCAAACCCAGTTGGATGCTCCACGGTTTGCCCAACCAGGTGACACACACGGCAACCAACATGGTTCTAGCAGAACCACCCCTCTTCGGTACTCCCAGTGCTACCAGACTGGTTCCGAATGAGGAAGTTCCTTTGGCAGATATGCCACTGGGGAGGCACAGCAGGTGTCAACCAACATAACTGGATGTTGGCCCCAATGGCGTCATGTCATGGATGAATGAGACCATGGGTCCAGATCCCAAGGTCTCCTACCGAGTGCACAGGAGCCCCACTAGTGCCTTTGGCCTGTGGTTCCAATGCGTCCTTGGTCCCATGACAAGTCACAGGGCTGGATTCATCCAGTCCTCGCTGCTGAAGATACCGTCCCACCTGGATTTTCGGTTGGGCGATTAGTCACCATCCCTGACTGGTCGAGCCCATCCAACCCATCCGTCAAGGGACATGTCTGTGGGGCAGAAAGGCCACTCCACTGGAGTCTGCCTCCGCTGAACTTGGCCACCGGCTCTTCAAGCCACCTATTTGTATGAATGTTGAAGAAAGAAGGTCATCGTTGAATTGTGACACCATCAGCGCTTGTGTTCAACAGTGTTGATCCGTTTGGCTCTCCCAGCCTAGCACATACCATTGGCTAAGGCTCCAATACGGTGTGTACCACCATGCACACCCCAGTACTGTGAATGACTCACATTTCAGTGAGTGACGACAAGAAGAGAAGGTTGCAGCCCCACCGTTCCTGAGGCCTCGCAACACAAGCATTGACGAAGAAGGATCTTGTCCGCAATGCGACAATGCAATCATGCTGATTCCACACTGATCGATTCAGTTGCTTTGGTTCAAGACGACAAGCTGGTCACGCTGGTTGGCTGGTATGACCACTCCTGGGGAGACCCAAGGAAGACTTCAAACACACCAGTTCAAAGTCAATCGTCCCATTCCAGAGGCAACGATTTGATCCCAAGGATGCCGATCCTATGGGGAGTCTTAGTGTAGCTAGCCGTAGGTAATCGTACCGTTCACCTGTGGTATTACCGCAAGAGCGAATCCATTTACCCTTGTGGGGAGCTATGAATTACAGGGCAAGAGCTCTAGATTCGTAGTAGCAGCGCTAAGGCAGCTTGCTGGCTTATTGCCTGGTAAGATGGATATCCACCCATCTTCGTCCATAGTTGAGAATAATGAAATAGTAAAGTACCTGAAGACCCAGATAGCATACCATAGCCTTGCAGTAGAGAACATGTGTGGTCCATGCTAGGGTAAATAGCAGCGATTCAACCATTCCAACAGTAGTGGTTGAATAGCATTGGCAGCCAGCTCTGAGGAGCTGGCCTTGACAGCCCAGTGAAGGGAGAATCTCACCAACCAGGGTCTCCCAACCTGGCACTGGCCAAGTCCTTGACTGACAGCCATTCTCCTGCTGAGAAAGGCCAGTTGAGGCTCCCTTACTGCCTAACTACCAGCTGAGATCTGAGGAACAGATCTAGAGAGGAAATTCGCCGAGGAAAGACCTCCCGAAATCTCATCGCTCACTATCCGAATCCACGTTGAAACGATCAATGTTGGTAAGGAAATTACCATCCTCATCTAGCTCCCCATTTCCTTCCCCATCGGCACCCTTTTTGTTGCCGATTCGAGGATTTGCTGCAGGTTTCCGATGGTCTGCGTCTTCTTTGGAACCACTACTACCTTGGAGTGAGGCCCCGGCATGGGCATCCTCGTCCTGCAATCCTTGTGGAATGGCTGCCCTGGAATCTTGTCCTCTTGCTGCCTTTCTTGGTGCTTTTGTGGGCCGACCGGTGTCAGTGAGACCAAGCTGATCAGCTCTGGCCCTTGATCTTGTCTGTCTAGCACCTATAGGATTGAAAGCAAGGTCTAAACCAAGGGCTTTCTGCATCAGTTGGTGGCAGCGCTTGTTCTGTTGCATGTGAGATTGCTGATATCCCACAGATTTGAATTTTTTATTGCAGTAAGGGCACTCAAAGTCCTTCTTTGATGATGCCATGGCTGCAAGCTAGCTAGCCAACACTAGCTGCTACTAGGCGCACTGGCTGGTGATTTGGATTCTGTGTGCTGGGGAACCACCCGCTTACCAATCGGGATGTAGTTTATGGTACCAAAGAGGGGGTTTGCCTTCCCGAAAAGACGGTCCAAAAAGTGGATCCCAAATCGTGAAGCAGGCAGTCTTGCCGGGTGGGCCTTCATTGCATGCCGATGTGGAACACACAATCCCGATTCCAATCACTGCACGCATTCTTGGAAGAAATTACGTCACGGATCGGGATCGTGCTGGTTGGCGTTTGGTACCTGCACGCATGTCGATTCTAGCTAGCACTACCTAAAAATGCGCTTATTAGATGTGTTGAGCTTGAAGTCAAAAGGGCCTGTCTATGGGTTCCAAAAATATCCCCAGATTTGTTGACCGCTGCAATCCATAGCAGCCGATCATTGAATCTTTGGAGCCGCATTGGGTCCCTGGAGACTAACCCCTCCAGGTGTCCCAGCTTGTAGTTTGTCTCGTATGGTTGTGTGACTTTCTGATCGTTTGTGAAGAGTTACAACGGTTACTATGTGAAGCAGGGGAATACCATAGAATAGCTGGCGATTTAGCCAGGGACAGATAGTTAGTAGTAAAGCACCTTCCGGAGTTTTTACACTTTCTCCGGTGGGGGCTTACACTAGGCCGGTTCCTAAGTGGGTGCCTCCGTGCGTCTGAGGTATGCCGGTTCGTTATGGCACCGTTCAGCGGGATTGTCTAGCGAGGTGTAGCCTATAAAATAAAATTTCGTTATTTCTCTGGCTGCTGCTGCAGCAGCAAAGCTTGCTGCTGCGGCGGAAGCAAATTCTTCTTTCTTTTCACCCGCTCTGATGATGAGCCTCCTCCTCCTCTTCTTCTCTCTTCCAAATCAAACCCCTAAGAATGCCCTTGTCAACTCTAGCGGCATGCTCAAAGATAGTTTCAACTTTAGGGGCATACCACAAGTGAACATCCTCTTTGTCCATGATACTAGTAGGTGCGTAGAAGCAATTTCAAGAAGAGTAAGGTCTTGAGCAAATGATCAGTACTTGTTCGGCGTACCAGAAATCTTTCGATCAATAAACCTTGATCAGCAGTGTTTTGACTACAGATCTTTGCTCAAGATTGTTGAAGAGAGTCGTAGTACGGTCCCGACTCGCCAGGGTCGCCTACAAGCTACTTCGGCCCCGGGTTAAATACTTATATTTAGGTTAACATTCTATTAGGTCTGGATGACTTGTTTTGCACTACCAGCCACGAGTCGAGACCAGCCCATGGGCTGGAACAGCTGAGTCAGATATAGTACCTCGTGTCTTAGAAAAAGCTACTAATACATGTAATAACACGCGGTATAAGGTACGCCTAGTAGTACTCCTCATACTCCTCATATTTTACAAGTTGCTACCATAAATTGCATTCTCCAAAAACTTGTACTAAAAATCATCGTAATTTTGATGTATGAGTTTCAGATGAGTTCGTTTTCGATCCTTCCTTGATCCTTTCAATCAAGTTTCTGTCTAGCCAGCTACCAGGAACAGCAACGCAGGAGATCACTTCAAGAGCCCGCAGCTACTTAATGTTCCTGACTTGACTCCAGTATAAAAAAGTGAATTTTCTAGGCACCTAGCAAAGACCCTAGAAGTCATCTTTCCAAACTAGAATCCAAACTATTAATATAATGAAAATAGGCAGGAGAGGATGCTCTAACCCTACTGGTAGCACCAAGGACCTGATGAGTAAATGAGCGTCTCAAATAACGTCAGACTGGTTGATGTCTCGTTGAGCCCCAAAATCCCTAACCTTCAAAAGATACTGGCAGGCCAGCTCGTAATGACTATTATCCCCCCGTTTTTGGTACAAATCCTACTGGTACTACAGAGTCATCAAGCCGCAACTGGCAGAGCCATCGTCGGAGGCTATCCTCATCGAAGTCATCAAGAAAAAGGATCTTTGCGGCTTTTCGCATTAATCAGCCCCTCTTCTCTTGAAACCCAACGCAACATAGTTGTATCTTTTGACATCGGATCAGTGAGAAGAAGGATCTAACCATGAGCGGAGAGAAGACAGGTGCGGAGGTGTTCATCAAGGACAAGGAGCTAGCATGGATTCCTGCGCGTCTTTTAGACATGACCGCCGACAAGGCGACTGTGTCGGTGCCTTCGTACGGAGATGAGCTGGATATCGAGATGGGAGGAAGGGGAGCCAGCAAGTGGGCTGATGCGACCGTCAATCTCAAGGATTACGCGGAGTTTGGAAAGCAGCTCCCTCTACAGAACAACAAAATTTTGGATGATATGGTTGACTTGCCTTACTTGCATGAGGTGGGTATCATAACATCATGATGACAATGTGTTTGCCGTGTTCTGATTCCGTGGGAAAGATGGATATTCGTGTCTTACCACTGCGATTATCTCTTTTCTTCCTACAGGCCGCCATTCTTTTCAACGTCAAGGCTCGTCTGAAGGATGCCCTACCTTACACGCGTACTGGTGATATTGTGATCGCCGTCAACCCCTACACTTGGTTGACGCACCTGTATGCAGAGGATCAGCAGCTTCTGTATGCCAACAGGCTTGTGTGGGAAAAACACGACCAAGATCCCCGTAAGTTGGTCCCTCCTCACGTGTACGAGGTGTCGGCTCTCTGTTACCGAGGATTGGCCGTCGACGGAAGGAACCAGTCCATTCTGGTCTCTGGAGAATCGGGAGCTGGAAAGACGGAGACTGTGAAGATTGCCATGAATCACATGGCCTCGCTCCAGCGTGGTCCTGTCAAAGCGACTGGAGAGGCATATTCTTCGCCTGTCGTCAAGAGAATTGTCGATTCCAACCCGATTCTCGAAGCCTTCGGAAATGCCAAAACTCGTCGTAACGATAACTCCAGTCGTTTCGGAAAGTACATCAACTTGCAGTTTGCACGACAAGCCCCCCAGCCTGGTGAGGTCGATATCTGTAACTTGGCTGGATCCAAATGTAACGTCTATCTCCTCGAGAAAACCCGTATTGTCGGTCACGACGAGGTCGAAGGAGCCTACCACATTTTCTACCAGATCCTCAACTCCCCAGACGACATCAAGGCTGGGCTAAACCCGTGTTTGAAGGGATCCAAGTGCGAGGACTACAAGTATGTCGGAAAACTCAATTTCGTCCGTAAAATTGATGGCATGTCCGATGCAGAGAACTTTGAACATTTGACCAACTCTTTGGGTCTCGTAGGGGTCAGTGGAGAATCCTACCAGACTATGTTCAGCGCTATTGTGTCTGTCCTCATTCTTGGTAACATGAGCTTCCAGGATAAAGGCGGAGACGACGAAAAGTCAGAGGTTAAATCCACTGATGTCTGTAAGCAGGCTAGTGACCTGCTGGGAATTCCTATGGAGGTATTGGAGCTTTCCTTTACGGAACGTACCATGAAGACACGTAACGAAGAGTACAAGGTGCCCCTGAAGCACCCCATTGCCAAAGAAGGTTGCGACTCTTTTGCCAAGGAGATCTACGCTAGGAGTTTCCTCTGGCTCGTGCGTGAAATCAACTCTGCCACTTCGGCTGAAGAGAACTACGAAGGAGGTGGTCAGTCTGACTTCGGTATCATTGGTCTGCTGGATATCTTTGGATTCGAATCGTTCCCAGTCAATGGTTTCGAACAGCTTTGTATCAACTACTGTAACGAGAAGCTCCAGCAAAAGTTCACCAAGGATATCTTCCAGTCTGTGCAAGAAGAGTACAAGTACGAAGGTATTGATCTGGATGATATTAAATTTGATGACAACTCTGACGTCTTGGATCTTATCGAAGGACGTGGAGGTCTGCTGGCCATGTTGAACGAAGAGTGTGTCCGTCCCAGTGGAAACGACGGCGCATTTGTGTCGAAGGCTGTCTCGGGTAACAAAAAGTCCAAGTGTTTGCTTGCCGATATGAGGATGGGACCGCTGGAATTCGGAATCCACCACTACGCTGGAAAGGTCATGTACAATGCCGGCGGGTTTGTTGGACGCAACACTGACAGTTTGCCCGTTGATTTGAAAAAATGTGCTCTGGCCTCCACTAATGATATTCTCGCCAACCATTTGGAGAACGACGCCATGACCAAGACCGAGTCGAAGGCTGCTGCCGCCCCCCCTCCAGCATCTGGCAAGGGAGCACCCAGGCGAGGAAAGAGTAACCTTGTGTCTGACACTGTGTGGACCAAATTCAAGACTCAATTGAACTCGCTCATGGCCGGTCTTGCTCTCACCAGCAGTCGTTACATCCGTTGTCTGAAGCCCAATAAGTTCAAGAAAGCCTTGAAGATGCAGCACTTGACCACGATCGAGCAACTCCGTTGTGCTGGTGTCGTCGCTGCGGTGACCATCTCGCGTTCGGCCTTCCCTAACAAGCTTGACCACGTGGGTTGCCTGGAGCGTTTCAGAATGATGAGGGAAGCCGGAGCTAAGGAGATTGAGGATCCCGTCGAAGCTCTGAATGATCTCTTGGACCCTGTGCTGAAGGGCAGGGAAGAGGATGGAAAGAAGGCGTACGTCCCTGGAAAGACAAAGGTTTATTTCCGTGCCGGAGCTCTGGAATTCTTGGAGAATGAGCGTGCAAAGCACCTGGGCAAGTGGGCCATTCATTTCCAGAAGGTTACTCGTGCTTACCTTGTCAGGAAGCTGTTGGGAGGTTTGCGAATGAAGAGCAAGGCACCGAACGCTTTGAGGATTCAGCAGTGGTTCCGCTGTCTCGTTGCCAGGAAAGAGTGCAAGAAGCGACAAAAGAAAAAGAAGATGGCCGGCAAGAAGAAGAAGAAGCAAGTCAAAGCTGCCATCAAGTTGCAGGCTGTTGCTCGTGGTTTCATTGTGCGTCCGCAATTCCAGAAGAAACTCAAGGAGAAGCGCGAGAAGGAGCGCCTCAAGCACGAAGTCAAGGATTTGGAGGACAAGGTGCGCGAAGCAGAGATGCGGCGCATGAAAGAAGTGGAAGAGGCAAGAGAAGGTATGTCACGTCATGTTATCTCTGCTGTTGTATGCTAACTTGTGAGCTCTGGTGTGCTGACTCGTTTTGGCTCTATTTTGTACCCCTCAGCTGCCGAGAAGGAAATCGAAGCTTACAAGGCAATGGTTCAAGAAGAGAAGAAGGCGGACAAAGAGAAGTCAAAGAAGGCTGCCCAACAACAGACTCTCATCGACGAGAGTGGCAAGATTATCGAATATTTGCGTAAGGAGAACATGAAGCTGCGAAACCAGAATGACTCTATGCGCAAGGATTTCAAGTCACTCAAAGAGAACAATGCCAGGCTCATGGAAGCCAATGCCTCAGCTTCCGCTTCGTTTACTGCCCTCAATGATCACGCGAAGCAACTGAATGCCACCAATGCGAAGTTGATCAAGAATGTGGAAGCCTACAAGGCACAGCTCGAGAAGTTGAAGGAAGATTTGAAGACGCGCCAATCATACTACCTGGCAGAAGCTGAAGCTCGTCTTGCGTATCAGAAAACGATGGCTCAAATTGTTGGTACGATTCAAGATAAATGCCGTGATGCTCAGTTGACGGAGGATGTTGTGATTATGGCTCTAGAGTGTGAAGCAGAAGCTAAGAGTGAGCGTGCTGCCCTTGATGTTGGTGGCAAGAAGGCCGCCGCACCTGCTCCGGCTGCCGCCGCCAAGAAGAAGGCACCGCCACCACCGGACAGTAGTAGCGACGACGATGACAGCGACGACGATTCGGATTAGACAAGATTGATGGCAGCGCAAGATTGGACACGGTTTTGGAGCGCTTGTTCTTGCGCACTGATTGACCCTGCCGCATCGTTTGAAATTTCTGGAGGATTGCAACCGAGGATTACGTAGTTTAGTGAGTAAAGTTGGTTAATGTTGCTTGTGTTCAGTTTGTACCATGGTTTTGCTTTCTACTTTAGAGCCAGTAGCTACCGTTGCTGCTGTTGTTCTTCTTGAGTTGTGGATGGTATTCGTTAGCTGACGCTCCAGTACTAGTTGAGTTGCCATGTACCGGTACGGGTACGGTGGACATGCATCACGCTTGAATAAAGACGCTGGCAACGGTGCCCTGCTAGCTGGCTGGTTGGGGGCAAGGATGCTTGTGACAGGCTATCATCTCGTGGTTGTGTGACACAAGGCTGGTTGTATCCCATTTTTGCTTGCGCTGAAAGGAATTCGGGATGGAAGCCTACTAGTAGTACCGGTAGTCTGGCTAGCCGAAGAGAGGAAAATGCGAGACAATCACAGATCAACGCCAACACGCAGACATGGACAATCAGCTAGAAACAAGTTGCAAGCGGACTTGAAGATCCCAACAAGAGCGTGGCAACAAGTCAGCACAGTACCGATAGCACTAAACATCATGAACTCGTACATGTACACACAGAACAGGTTCTGCTTCAATTGTAACTTCCGAAACTACAGTATTTTATCACAACATTTCTCGCACAGGAACTTAGATCACGGCATCTCCATCGCGTCAAGCTTCCCCTAAAAGGAACAAATTGGGGGCATGATCCAGTCCAAAAACTGCAATCCCAGATTTCATCCACGCTTCTCTGGTGGTCCATCTGCAGTTGGATATATGATCATATCATCGGCCAGTGGATTGGCGTGTATAGTGACCTTCTGTATCACGGGCGGATCAATGGGTTTGTTTTGGTCTCTCTTTTTGGTGGCCTGTCGGCCCATTACAGGTAACCGCTCCATTTTATCCAAAACCTCCCATCCATCCAATAGACGGCCGAAAACTGTGTGAAGATTGTTCAAATGAGGCTGTCGCTCGTAGAGGACGAAGAATTGCGATCGGTTGGTATTGGGACCCTTGTTCGCCATGGACAATACGCCTCTCTACGTCATAAGGTATTGCACCAAAGGCAAAGGCAGGAAAGGAAAATGTTCAGAACTCGAATGATTCAATCAAAAATTCCCCCTCAACTTGCACTGTCACTCGAGTGACACACGCACAGACACACCTTATCATGAGTATTATCGGGATGAAACTCGTCGGGAAACGATGTCGGGCCCCATATGGATTCTCCACCTTTCACCCCAGTCTTCTCAGCAGTGTCACCGCCTTGAATCTTCCCAATTACGTCAGTAAGTATATCCACCAAAGAAGAGAGGAGAACAAGACTTGTGAGCCAGAGAAGCAGACTCGACAAAGGATGTACCAGTACGTATCGTTTGAACGTTACTCACCATGAAACCCCTAATATTCCGGTGAAAGAGAGTCCCATCGTACGAACCATTCGCACACAATGCCAGAAAGTTAAAAGCTGTTCGAGGAGCCGTATCACAGAAGATCTCCAGCTTTATATCGCCTATCGTCGTATGAAGCGTCACGGACATGGCGGTCTATTATGGAGTGGTACTTTTTGCTCTTTGTCTTGGTTTGCTCGCTGTGCCGAGATTGCCTGCCTGTGACAGGAAAAATTGGCCTCCAATTGCCGTTAATGCAGAGGTAGAGACGCACACTTTCCAAAGAAGGAGAACCTTGGACGCACCAAGGTTTTGAACTTGGGTATTATGCGTTGTGAGGTTGATGTGGTAAAATTAGTTCTCAAGAATAATAGATTTAACCCTGTATTACCTCAACTACCTTTGAAAGACTGTGTCTTTCAAAGTTCACAGAAAGGCTGACCGCAAGAAAGACCGTTTGTCTTGCTGAAAGAGAAGAGGTGTTCGTGGTACCGGTACATGTACAGTAAAATAGTGGAGGCGATCAAGCCGCTGCTCAAAGGTTGTTCTATAATTGAGCTTCCCAGCACTATCTAGAGTGCTGTACCGATAGGGTGGGCTAACCCGATTGAATGATGAATCAAACGAATTACCTGTACAGTACGGTAGCAAGATGCAGTATCATGATTATTCTTAGTTGTGTTTTGGTTGATTGGAGTTTAGAAGAAGAGACAACTAAAAACAGCGCTAGTTCCGACGATGGGACAATACACTTCTTTCAGAGTGATTCCAACAGTACCGTCAATGAAAATGTCCCAAAGAGGATTGCCTTGGGAATTACTCTTCGTCCTCGCCTCCGGCAGCCCTCGATGCGGCGCGTTTCTTGGCGACACGTCCGGGAGGACCCTGTCCGTAGGGCGAGTTAGTTGCGAAGTCAATGTGCTTCTCAGAAGCTGTCCTGACGTTTAGTCCTGGGGTGTTGACGAGCTGACTTCCGACACGAATGTGGCGCTGCTTGATAAGGACACGCGCGTGATGGATGGACTTGGCGAGGCCTTGCTTGTAGACCTTGGTCTGCAAACGACGTTCCAACAACTTTTGAGTGGTAAGCTGCAAGACGAAATCCAACTCGAGCTCATCGTCGGCCAAGAGACCGTAACGACTCATCCGACGCAAGAGAGCAGCACCCTCGAAGATGCGCTTTGGGTCCTTGGGGTCGAGAGTCAGCAACGTTCGGGCAGCCTTTCGCAGCTTGGCAAGAGCATATTGGACTCGCCAGATCTCGCGCTTGCAGCGAAGTCCGTACTCTCCAACAAGCTTGAGCTCGGCATCAAGACGTTCCTTCTCGTAGGGACGACGAGGCGTCTTGAATGTCTTGCGGTCTGAACGATAAAGATACGACGAGGAGAAAGATCGTGTGAGAATATACCCATAAGCTGAACACAATGACATTGGAACGTCGAATCTTCGTCGAGGATAGCGGAGGCATTGGTAGATTCGCAGTCACGAACCGCAGTCCCGTCGGCATGGCAGCAGGAGCAACAACAACTGTCGAAGAGGTGTTGCCATGGCCATCACCGCACATCAATTCCAGCAACAAAACAACAACAAGGCAGCCAACAGATTCAGTAATGTTGTACTTACAAGCTCGGTGCATCGCATTTGTCGGCCTGGTGGTTGAAGCAAGAAGGGGGAAAGGGGAGAGGGGAGATTACAAGCGTGAGACGGTCGTCAAGGAAGCCTTTAGGTTTATTCAGCCATCGGAAACGCAATCCACCCAATCACCGAACGCTTGTCTTCTTCATGGCACAGCAAAAGCCATGGCGAAGACGATAACAAGACAACACTGACTGCGCTGGCAAAGAGGCTCGAGGAAAAGATGGCAGGTCACCGCCAACAAAGTCGCTGTTTACACAGTGCGATATCGCCACCACAACGCCCGCTGATAACTCACATTTTGGATTAGTTTATATCGAACTGAAGCAAGAAAGAAAGGTTGATGTGATCAAAGATGATCGGTTGCTGATGTTAGCCTTGTTTGGCAGGTGCCGTTGTTGTTCAGAGCTTGAGCCTGGGGCTTGTTGCTGTTGGTGACTTGATAGTGAGCGCCTTGTTCGGGTTGTTGCTGTTGCGAGATGGCGGGCAGGTTTCGGTACTGCAGAAGGTGACGTAGATTCTACACAGCTTTGGATCAGAATTCAAGTAAGAGGTAAGAGCTGAGGCAAGCCAAGAGCCCGCCAAGCTAATATTAGCCTGAGCCCTATGATTGTCAAAAACAATAAAATTATTATTAAAGAAATTGCTGCTGCCTCGCTCAAGTTCGAGTGACGAGTGACAGTCAAGTCAGGCGAGCCGCAGCTATGCATATTTCTCTCACCATGCATGTTATCGGTATGGTACCATACCGGTACGGTACTGGTACCACATGATCCATGGGCTGGGAACAGCTCTTGTTCTCATGTCATAATCATCTTTAGAATGCTCATTCTAAGTTACAGGTATTGTGAATATCCATCTTCAGTTACCCTCTTGAAATGAGTTGTATGCATACTACTACAGTAGTAGATTCGTTTCCTTTGACACAGACACAAAAGCCTTCTCGTGCGGGAAGAATGGCAGAAACTCTCCCCGCACTCTCCCGCACTTGAACTAGATTGAATGCCATTCCTGTTTCAATTCTGGAGGTGCCATCTTCTTCTGAAGATGAAGAACTGATTTTTCAGTGGGATGGGATAAGAACAACTGTTGTTGCATGAATGGCAGTCAGCAACCCAACGAACGAGAAGATGATGGCAACCAAACCAGCAGCCACTGCACAACTGAGCTCGTCCTTGCATCTGTTTGCACATACATGTAAATCTGTTCATACTGGCTGTGGGATCATTATAGGACATTGGCTCCCTCTAAGTAGCCTGCGTAGGGAAAGGAGCTAACATGATGCTTATTAAAGCGACCAGACGAACAACCACGAAACCGGAGCCATCAGAAGCTTCTGAACCGGGTCAGAAGCGTCCGTTTGATCGGAACGGAACCACTGACATTGCTGATAGCTTATTCAACTCAACCGGTGAAACGTTCAAGAAAACAGAGGTCGATCTAGTAGTTCTCCCGAGCAATTGGACAACAAGGAAGCTGTCAAAACTACGAAGTACTCAATTGAAGCTTCCGAATTTGTCCAGCTGGCCAAGGTTGTGATGCAACTCTTGATTTGACTTACCAAGAGGAGATGCGACAACGTGCCAACCCAAGTAGAAAATAACATCATCAAGATTGTGATACTTCGCCAAGGTTCTGCCGTGCACTGCGAGGTTCCGATGGCGGTTTGAGGTTTCGATGGCGGGACGGTACCATTGCCATACTAGCTAGCTAGTAGGTAAGAATTCGAGGCAAATCGGCGCAGTTTCCATGGGTCTGTCCTCAAGTAGCTCGCCATTTGCTGAGTTGCTGAGTTTGCCTGAGTGCTCAACCAGCTACCGTATGGCAGCTCGCGTGGTGCGGAAAGCAGGCTCCAACTAAGGCAGCGAAACCGCAGAGTGGGACTGACTGTTACAGTCGTCCCTGAGTTTCAGGGTGTGATGAGGTACAATGCAGTACAGGTATCGGTAGTCCAGCTCGTTCTTTGTGGTGGTCATCTCCTGTGAGCACCGCCTTGATCACCAGGTGGTCCAAAGGAAGATACCGTAGGTACAAATAGATTAATTAAATTGTGAAGCTGAAACTGAAACCGTACTAGCTAGTAGTAGGTCCAAAGCTAGCTAGCTAGAGCTTCGTACCGAGATGCTGACAAAGCGAAGTGATATGGGACTCGACTCTGGTCAGTCATGCGAAGGGGGGGGGGGAACCCAGAACAGCTCCCAGATCCCAGAACCCAGCGAGGGGAAGCAGCAACACCCCTTTCAGTCAGATCAAACCAAATCGGCAACGTCCTCGTAAAAGCGTACAACTATACCATTGTACTATTGTAACCGTGCTGGAGAAGTGAACCTGCACTGTCGGAAAGCCGTTCCGCCAAGATCCACAGCGCCAAGATCCAATGCACCAGCAAGACAAGATAGATATCCGCCTCATCCTCTGCATCATGACTCCGTTGTTGTGATAGTAGGAGTCGTCATACTGCCAACTCTTTGCAAATCCTCTTCGCTCCATTGCCCAAGATCGGCTCGACTCGACTTCTTGGGCAAATTGCCAGTGCTTTCCTCTTTGGCCGGTTCGATGACGACCAATGCCCCCGTCCCTCTGGAGACTGGTGGCAAGGTCGACATCCAATCCTCACAAAATCAAATTCGACAAAAGATATACCTCGCCTGAAAAACTTGAAACGAAAACAGACAATCAAATCACGCAATGAAATTCGTTTCTCCTCTTTCAGTCTTCTTTCTCTCTTCTTCTTCCTCCATCTCTGTGGTTAGTGGCCATGGATACCTCAAGACGCCCCGCAGCCGTAACTATGTTGCTAAGCAAGATGGGGTGAGCTGGGGTGGTTCCAACACTGACCCCGCTCCAGAGTTTTGCCCACAGGTAAGGCAATCAGCCCACGAGGACTGATTCGAATATGATGACAACGATGAAAGAATACGTTGTTTCTCAAGCTTCTAATTTTCCTTTCATACTCCAGTGCCTTAACCGCGGTGGGATTGTAGCCGCATGTGGTAAGATTGGCGATCACAACTACGACTACCCGCCAAATGCCATTGGAGGTGTCCTTCCTCCCAATGTGCAAATGGTGGCAAAGAAAGGGGGCAGTATTGACGTCGACGTTGTCCTGACCGCTCACCACAAGGGCCATTTCAGCTTTTACGCGTGTCCTATGGTTGGGGGTGAAGTGCCAACAGAGGACTGCTTTAAGTCTAACCCGCTGGAATTTGAAGAGGATCTGTTGTATGGTGCTTTGCAGGTGGGTGAAGAGATGTTGTCTTGAAGCTGCTTTTGTGGCAGCAATCGAAATCTCACAATGTTTCTCTTCTGCCTGCCCACTAGGATCCATCCCACAAAGACAGGGCATATATTCCTCCTTTGACATATGATGGCATCATCGACGATACTGAAAGTGCTGTGCCGGGTACCTTGTATTCCTACAAAATGAAACTTCCACCTTCAATCGAAGGTGACTTGGTGCTCTTGCAGTGGCATTACTTGAGCGCAAATTCCTGCGTCCATGAAGGGTATGGAGACTATGCCTTTCCAAGTGCGTGGGGAGACCTTGGCTATGAACAACTGCCGCTTTGTGGCCCCTTACCGGCGGACGGAGATGGCGTGCCCGAGATGGTATGTTCGCACGTCGTTGCTGTTGATTCGGAGATCTCACGAATGTAATAACTGACCTGTATTTGCAATATTTTTCAGTTCTGGAACTGTGCTGAAATCCGAGTGGAAGGGGAAGAGGGGGCTCCGACCACGCTCCCTGCCCCAGCACCCGCTCCTACCACGTTTGTACCAGCCCCAGTACCGGCCCCAACCACTTCTTCGCCGTTGCCCCCTCCTAGTGTGCTTCCTTCAGAAGGCAACACTCGCATGATTGCTTACCTTGGAAATTGGCAAGCTTGCCCAACTGCTGCCCAGTTGGCTCAGTACACCCACATTGTCATTGCTTTTGCTGTGTCATATACATGGGCACCCAACAAAAACCAATGCAGTCCCACTTGTGAGATTGCAACCCCTCCAATTTGCAACAATGCTGCCAATCCTTCTCTACTCAACGACCTCAGAGCTCAAGGCAAAAAGATCATTGTCAGCTTTGGAGGCGCTGGAATGGGTGAGTCCGAAGGGGTTCCAGCAGGGGCTGGCGGCGTCTCGAGAATCCATCATGTTGACATCGGCGCACAATATGTTTCTCACTCATGCATGATTATGCTTATTCAATGACAGGCGGCTCCTGGGCTGGAGATCAGAATGACTGCTGGGAGTACTGCTATGGAAGAGAGTCTAATGTTGTAGCTCAGTTGACATCCATTGTCGATGACCTTGGTGCTGATGGAGTTGATATTGATTATGAATACTTTTATGAGGACAACCAGAATGGATCAGGTTTTAGCAAGGGTACACAAGCTCAGAACTTTTTGACGCAAGTGACTGTTGGCCTCCGAAATTCTCTTGCGCCTAATGCCATTGTCACCCATGCCCCGATGGATGTAGACATGGAACCAAATACCATGTACTACCAGCTCCTCAAGGATATCTCCTTCACCCTGGATTTCTTGATGCCACAGTATTACAATGGCGTAACCCGCCCAGTTGTTGATGGCATTGATGGCACTGGAGCTGGTAGCTCGTCAGCTTTAGTGCACTACAGCACCCTTGTGGACGATTTGTTCAATGGGGATGCCACTCGAATGATATTTGGCTTTTGCATCAGCGATTGCAGCGGGACTGGCAGCAATGCTGATGCCAACCAGGCAGCTGAACTCATTACGTCTCTTGCACAGCACTACAGTTGCAACGGAGGGGCCTTCTTTTGGGTCGCTGAAGCAGATCGGGAAGGTTCTTGGTCTTCAGTTGTCAACCAAGTCATGATTTCATCGTCGACTTGCTCGGCTTCGACAGACTCTCCTACTCCCATCCCTCCTTCTACTCCCAATCCAACTTCGAGGACACAAGGAACCCCCACTCCCACTCCAACTCCCACCACACAAGGAACATCAGCCCCCAGCACCAGCGCGTCAACACTACTCCCCACAAATTCTGCTACCGGTGATCTTGTTGTCTCCTCTGGCTCTCGCTGTGGTGTCAGCGAACTAGCAGCGAGAGCCAATTGTGGTTCGGAATGTTCGTCCAACACCGACTGTGCAGCCAACGAATATTGTTGGAATGTACAAGCAAACTTATGCGGCAACCGCCCAGGCTTTCGACTCTGTGATGACTTGCCAGGAAAGGCTAACGGAAACGCTCGTTGCGGTTCAAACGAACTTCTTGCTCGAGAGACTTGCGGTGATTCTTGTTCCACAAACGAGGACTGCCACGGACCGGGTGAATACTGCTTTGCAACTCATTTGAACTCTTGTGATTGTGTGGCCGAATTTGGAGATGGTCAACGTCGGCGCCTGTTGCGCGGAGCTTTCTCCTCTAGCTAGAAGACTTATTAATGGCTGCTTCGTGGCAACGTACTATGACTATGTACTAGATCTTGCTAAAGATACCTCTTAGCAAGATACCTCGCCTAAAGAAGCACCTTTCTAGTTGCATGCATTTGTTGTGCTCTTGTAGATGTGGATAATTTTATGTACTGTTGACGTGACATTGGCGAAGTATGCCATGACAACTTTTTTATCGACTGCCGAATGTGGTCATTGTCGCGCTCGAGTGACCAAACGTCGCAGCAAGGGCATGTAACGTGTGATGCGTAGCATCTGTTGGATTGGTGTGCGGATGCTGGTTTAACAGAGCACTCAACGTGGCGGTGATATCACCTGCGGTGTTTCCGTCCTGGATTTGGTTGACTCCCGAAGGAGCCTGTCCAACAGACAATGAATGCAGAGGTGCGGGCACAGGAACAGAAAGAGGAGCTGGCGGTGGTGCTTGCGGATGAGAAGGCTGCAACTGACCTCCTCCTCCTGCCAGAACGGCAATCAGTAGCTGCATGGCTAGCTGTTCGGAAAGCTGAGGTTGGGGCTGCTGGTTGGATGCGGTAGGCACAGAAAAGGCAAGGGACAAAGGCGAGGGGGCAGGCGCAAAAGCGGGGACCAAAGCTTGTGGAGGAGCAGGGTTGTTAGAGTGCAATCCTAGATTTTGGGTCGGGCCAAGTTTACCCAATGGGTCTTGTGGTTGCGCAGCAGCTTGCTGTTCGTAGTTCGCAACACCAGCTGATGGAGCTGATACGGGGAAGGGGTACGCAACCGAAGGTTCTCGAGTTCCGGTCTGGAGATGGCTCTGCTGTCCATTGTTTGCTGTTTCCGGAGACGCAACAGGAGTGGCCACCTCGGCTGCTTCCATTTCTTCCTCTGGGAGAGGGAACATTTCGGAAATCTTGAACAGATCTGGCTCATGGTCTGTATCTACTTTGATCTTCATAGCCTTGCCAGGGCGCTTCATTCCTCTGCATAGATGAGGCATACCCCCTTGAGAAACAGCTCATGATAATAGCTGGGAGCAATCGGTTTGAAAGGCGGCCAACAAGTTGGAGTTATAGAAGTGCCACCAAAGAATATGACCAGTTGATATCACAACGACGTGTGCGAAACAACTAAACACACCTGCCACGGCCTATCCTTGAATGACGCGTCGAAAGCCCCATCCTTGTTCATTGGATTAGATTCACCATTCGTTCACAGGCTGAAAGATAGATGAAGGGTTGTTGTGAGGAATTAGCCTATAGTCAGACCGTCCTTGAACAAGCCCAAGAAGCAAGAAGATCTTACCATTGGTTTGTCTGATGAAGCTACTCAGCTTCTTATGCTCAAAGTACACAGGAACAACTCTTCGTTCAAACTCCGAAGGGTGAAGGATCCGCGAAGAACGACCATGAGGAAGCCACCCGACCAGGTCATCGAACTCCGGATTGGACAGAATCGAATACATCTTGGCCGGAAAAGTTGTTGCCCCCTTACCATCCAGACTTCTGTGCGGAGTTGGATCTTTCACTATATAGAAATCTCCATAGTGGAAGAAAGGATAGGGCAGATTAATCAGAGCACTCGACTCCCACCCCTGCTTGTATTGTCAGGTTCGTAGAGTCTTGGTCAGGAGTCCCATCTTCTGAAGAGCCTTTTTAGGAGAATTGCTTGATCTTCTCCAATCAGACTGCTGGAAGCTCTGCTGCGGAGAATATGCGCCTATGAAAATATGCACCATGACCATAGGTGCTGCTCCCCGACGAAGCAACGAAGCAGCGATACACTGCTGCACACCATGCTAAAGGATCCATGGTCCCCGTTTGGAATGGAGTCAGGAGGCGAACGTGTAGCTTCGGGACCTGAAGCCCGAAGGTACCTGGCTGGTACCTGTAACCTTGCTATTAATACTCGTCGCATATGAGAAGAAAGGAAACCTCAGCCCACTATTGTTAACCAGTAAAACAACAAGATAGTAGCACCGATCGATGATAAAGTGCGTAACCACGTCTATCAGGCAGCCATCAACGCTATTGGCACAGCTACCAGTGAGCAGATAACAGAGTTTGGAACGTCATACCGTAGTTTGTGGGGGCAGGCCATCCTCTGGCTTCTGGTGGACACGTGGATACCTGCACGTAACCACCAATCAATAAACATCCCATTGGTGCCGTACCGTATTGGATGGTACCAGTATAAAGTTTGAGGGTGTGTGCTAGCTAGTCGAGTTCAAATTGCAACCACTTGGGGCTCTGGCTAGCTCCACCGTACCGGTACCGTAGCTGGGCTGCCTGCGCTGCCTTGAAAACCTACTTCTACTTCGTTTTTACCGGTCTCCCATTCACACTTCAAAACCGATGAATTGGACTTGTCGTTCTCCGAGGACTTTTCAAGCTAAATTTCCATACAATACTCTGGTAGCAGCGTGACAAGAACGCACATTATCTCGCCATTTGGTGTCTTCAAGTTAGTTTCCGACTGAGCTCTATGTACGATTGATCAAACTGTGATTGAATCACAGATCCAACTTTGCTGAAAACAAAATCTCGACTGAAACCCACTTTAAACTATTACCAGTAGACTTTGGCAAGATAGGTGTAGATGTTGTTGGAGATGAGGGCTCTCATTTCTTGCGAGTCTCTTCCAGTAATACAATACAATAAAATACAATCCAATAGAATGCAATGCGATACAATACAAAGAACCGTGTGCCATGGCACGATGGCACCATGGCTGGCAAAATGCGGCACAATTTGCCACCCTTCCCGCTGGCACCCTACCTCAACTCGGATATGGGTGTGTCGCATCCAATGTCTACGGACGAGAGTTCGCCAGCGCAACGAATGCATTAGCTCTACGGGAGCAGCTGAGAGGAGCCCGATTGGTACCTAGCTAGCTGCTAGCTAGCCGCTAGCTAGCCAGCGCTACAGAATATTCAGAAGAAGCAGAAGAAGATATTTTTCAATCAAATTTGCGTGCTACTGAGCCAATGTTAGCTACTCGGCTAAAGGAGAATTCGGGAAATCCATCAAGTGCCGCTCTAGGAGGTTCTCGGTCTCTTCTAAAGCAGCTTCAGCCTTGGCTTCTATGTCGTCGGCCTTCTCCGAGAATTTCATGGCCTGCTCTACGAAAGAATCAGCCTCCATGCTATCAGCAACACTTGCTAAGTTAACAATCTTGGGGTTCAAATGGGAAGAGTCATGATCCCCATCGGCGCCCGCCCTGGCTGCTTCCGCTTTTCCGGCCGCTTCATCGGCATTTTTGCGAGCTTCCAACGAATCGGCCCAAAGCGCTTCAGCTCGTTCGACCGCTGCAAGGACTTGCTCTTCGGTGACCGCAGCCAGTTTGCAGCTTCTGGGGCGACCGGTAGTACTTCCTGTGGACGACACAAAAGCGGCTGACGGGAGGATCGTGACGAGCACCAGGACTAGCCTCGCGATATTCAGTTGCTGCACCATCCTTCTACTACATGTACTACTAGCTAGCAGCTATCGCTACTGATTGCTGCTTCGGGTTCGCAGGGCTCTTGCTGTTACCTCAAGACGAGGAGCTCCCGCACTGACAGTAGTGGTTTAAAATTCGTATTCACCAGGTTTCTGATTGCAAGATTGACAGGGAACAAGATCCTATATGTCTTGGGTTTCGCTTCTGCACATGGAGCACATTTCCCTGGTAATCACATCGGCCAATGTGATTACCGGTTTGAGCTGCTTACCAGTGAATTTTATGAAGCGTGGACAGTGAGATTCACTGGTAAAGGTCAGAAAGAGAGAACGAAGCTAGCACAGCTGCTTGTGTATCTGGCGACGCGAAGTGCGACTATGGGACGACGCCGAAAAGATGAACCGGAGACAGGCTAGCTGGCTGGCTGGTTCGTTAGCAAGAAGGGTAGGTAATGATGGTGGGGATTAATGGTTTTATGTAGGACCTAGCTAGGGTATTAGGTCAATCGGTACCCGAACCTAGAGACCAGCCCACTGGAACACGTTCGGTCCGCCTTATTAGAGCCATGGGAACCCATCTCCGCGAGAAAGGTTTCCCTGGATTTGGTCGTTGTCGTTGTCGTTGTCACTATTATCAGCGTTGCTGTTTCTTGGAAGAGAGTTGTCGTTTAGTTGTTCCATCAGCTGCCTGTTTTGCTGTTGTAATTGGTGATACTGATTCATGTATGCTTCGGGAACGGGAGTTGGAGGTTGCATTGGAGGTTGTATGGAGGCACGGGCGGGAGGAATGATAGGGGTGGCAGTGCTTGCCGTGCCTGTACTAGTGCTGGTGGTACTGTTTCTTCTGCTCAGGTCGGCCCTTTCGGAGGTATCCCCCTTTAGTGATCCACTTTGGAGATGGAGCATGCTAAAGATTTCATCTTGCGCTTCTTTCCAAGTGCGCTGGCGGTTTGGTAGCTTGGCTTCCCCTGCACGAGTTCTGTTTTGCTTTAGCAAACTGTCGCGAAAGGCATGGCTGACCTTTTCCCTGGCAATGGTTGGCCCCACTTCCGTCCATTGCCCGTCCTTGTCTTTCCTTACAAAGCCACCTTGATGACATCCTTTGCGGACTTGGGCAGCAACTTCACTGATGATATCAGACTTGTCACGACGAGTAGAAGCTTCTACATACGCCTTAAGCTTGTTCGCAACCAAGATGCGCAAACGGCGGTTTCCGATGTGGTCAAAATTGTGTTTGGAGCGTCCGCATAGCTGTTCGAAGGAAGAGATAAGCATAGATAAAAGATGATGTTAGTGATGCTTGTTTGCTTCAGGGAAAACACTTTGTGCTTTATGGAAAGAAGTCCACGTACCACATGCCAAGGACCAGGAGTAAAGTCCACGCCGAGGGGAGTTTCCTCTGCCTTGATGCTGGCACGACGTGAAGTCGCACTCTGAGTACTGCTACTGGCACGTCGGAAGAGTGGAAGGGTTGGAGGGGCAACCAACTGTTCTTCTGCTTGAGGACGGAAGGTGCTGCTGCCTTGTCTGAACATTGGTTCGGCGGTTTGATGATAGACTCCCATTGGACGAATCTGCTGTCCAAATGGGTCCTGGGGAATTCTCGCCAAGGAAGCATTGGTGGCGAAGTTGGGTTGCTGGTGGTGCATCTGGTGGTGCATCTGGTGGTGCATCTGGTGTTGTCCCATCATTGGGTGCTGATCGCCACTGATGGAAACGTTTTGGTAGGATGATGAACCTTGTTGGAGTTGAAACTGCTGGTTGATGTTGTCATTCATTCTGTTTGGGCGGGCGACAAGGCGCTGTTCCCAGCGGTCTTCCTGCAACTTTTCCTCCCCCTGTTTCTTGTCAAAGTCTTCCGCGTCGTCTCCTTGCATGTCACTTACAAGGCAAGAGAAGTCAAAGTTATGAAAGGCACTACTAGTAGACAAATAATGAGGAGATGCGTCGTCGTATTTCATTGGGTTCATGGACGAGAAGAATGAAACCACAGATTCTTCGTCTTCGATATCTGAAACAATGGGTTGATGGTTGAAAGGAGTTTCCGTGGCCGCTAGAAGCATCGCAAGATGTTGAGATGGTTGATGATCAAAACTGTGAGCTCAGATTGTGACCCCTTGTGTCGCTGGCTGAATCCAACTGGCTAAATTCGAATAGTGTGGCTATGAATAGTCAAGACTAAGCTACGATGATGATGTGATGTCCAGATTGGGGCAAATGCACTTCATCTCTCGCTGACGGCAGTGCTGTTGTGTCTTTTGGTGATCTCCAGCTTTGGACCGTACCCGAGTGCTCTTGTAGTACTGGATCCACTGCCTTTACGTGGGGATCGCTTCAGTTCGTATGGTACAGTACCCCTTTAACTTTACGGTACCAGGTGCGCTGTACGCTGTACCGTACGATAGTATCCTCGTTTGCGCCTTTGGTTCCACATCATTCCAGCCGACGGTTGGTCTGACTGGTATTAGCGAAAGGCTGGTGGCACCGGGATGTGACAAATTGTAAGAAGTATCCGGACTCAGAGTACACAGCTGTACGCCATAATTCACCCTTTTCATCAGAAACACCTCGATTAACGAGGTCTGGCGGACTTAGATCGCATATTGAATCTAGCTTCTACCAGCAGTCCAGAGGAAAGTAGCAATCGGTTTGGTGATATAAGAAAAGAGCCTGAGAGAGCAGAATGGGTGGTCAGGGAAATATGAGGATTGGTCTTGAGGGAACTTGTGCCTTTTTTCAAAGTCATTGAAATTGTTTTTTCAAAAATTGTACTCAAAGTAACACAAAGTATCCGTAGACAAGACAAACAAGTTTTGCAGAGTTCAAAAGAACGTAAATCTTGTGGTCATTATTTGAGAACTTCCCCAGGGGCTACAGAATATGGCTTAAAAAGCAAGTCTCCCTTGGTGCATCATGTCGACAATGCATGCAATTTCAAAATAGGACCAGGTCCCCCCTCGGTTGCCGGTACCCGACCTATGTTGCGCCTTCTCCTGACTTATATATTTGCGCGTGCGCTACTCCAGCAGCTAGTAGCGCTAGTGTACAGTCATGTTCTAGATCTCGTGAAGAGGCACCGCACGTACTGTTGACTGTTGACATCATTAGGTTCGTACGGTTACTACGGTTCGTACGTTCAGAAAGATTAAAATAATTACTAGCTAGTGAAGGCACATGCTTACCGGTATTCTGGGATGTAGTCGCGGCAAGCCACGATAAGCAGACATAAAGAAATTGGTTATTGGCGTCACTAGCAATTAACATGTTGAGTTCTTTTCAACGAGGAATGGGTGTCTTACCGTTCAAAGTTGCTGCATGATGTTTTCTTGGTGCCGAGTAAGACACCGTGTGAAGGCGTGGAGGGGGCCTCGGTTCATAAAGCGGTCGAAAGATCTTCCCTGGATTGTCCCCACCGGTATGCACATCCAGAATCTTAGGTGCCTACCAGTATCATAGCGTGCGGGCTATCCACGCGGGAGTCACCAAGGCTACTGGTATACACTTCGAATCGAATCATCTTCTGATGAAGAGCTTCTGGATACCAATCCGCAACCAATCCGAGCGAGGACCCAACGAGCAACAAGCCATGTTCAGTTTCTTCTTTCATACCAGCAAGAGAGAGGAACCAGTCTATAACCGTGTCCTCGACCTGGCCTTAAAGGTACCGGTGGGCCACGGTTACTCTAATCGTTGCTTGGGGAAAGCCCAGCCAAGAGCCCGTTCTTGCTACCCTATCCAACCATCCAAATACCGGTACGGTGTTTCAGCTATTCTCCTCCTCGAGGGCTGTTGGTCGCTCGGCTTGTAGAATTTTGATGGCTTCTTCGGTTCTAGTACCACCAAGCCCTCCTGCGCTGCTCACCTGATCGAGTGCTTCTTTACTGTTCTGGGCTTGCATCTCCTGGCTGGTTCGCCGCCTTTGGGGCAGCTCTCGCCCGCCTAATGAATCCAGATATCCAGGTTGCGGTAGGCCTCACCCTTGAAAGGAGCGAGACCCGCGGCAATAACACTTATCACATGCTGCCCTTCCTCCTCGCATCTCTCCAACTTCAGCTGCCCACGACATAGTAACTCGCGGGAATTCTACCGATCCTTGCTCCTAGCTTGCCACTTCACCTTGGCTATAGCGGACCCACCCTGTTCGTCTTGGGAGATCTCTTTTGCAAGCAAAGGGTTACAGAGAGTTCCTCCACTGAACTCCCTGTTCCCGTAACCTTCGGGATGTGCTGGAAGGGACAGCTGTAACACTAGCTAGTAGTATTCTAGCGCAATGAAGCTACCAGATGAGAGTTATTTAGAGTGCTACTTTTATCCATGGCTGCCTGCTCAATTTGCGCAACTCTCCTCCACGGGCAGTCGCATCGTTGCTGGAACTCTGAAGCTCATCCCCTAGCCATGCCTGCAGCACACCTGAAACTTAAATCTAGCATCAATTTGGAACCCCATGGTCGTCAAATCTGCCTACAAGATCCTTTTCTGTTAAATGCAAGCAACCAAGAAAGCAAAGTGACTAGCCACTAGATGCTTGCTTCTTGTCGTCTTGCGCTTGGGGCGCCAACAAAGAAAAATGCGGCATTCGAGCTTCTGCATTGTCCCAAAACTACTAACTTTGACTATTGCATCGAACAGAAGGTCGGCAAAAGACGTTCAGATATGGGTAGTTGGAGTGTTGGAGTCCGTAGAGGGATCTTTTGGTCCAGCTCTTCTTGCAATACGTGCTTCAACAACGCCATCAGATGTTTCGGGATACCGGTACAATCGCAGTGGTAACATCAAATCTCATATTGTCACTGGTCTTGCATTCTATGCTTTTCGGTACTGGAGGACGCATCCCCGCGGCAGGACGGGAACAACACTTCAATATGGGAAGAAAAACGCATGCTGCAGAATATACGAGATTGTAGCATACAGGATGGAGGGAAAGGAGTCACCTTGACGAGCCACCAGAATAATGTGGCGTTGTTGTTTGCATCAACTAACAACAGGTGGCGCTCACATGGAAAGACCGAAACTGCATGAAGGCGTGAAGCAAAGGAGAGCGCCATGCACATCAATACTGTAGCAACAAACCTCTGAAGCTTTATGCAATTTTCACTCCTGAGCGGGACTGATTTGGTGGCATTAAAGCCAGCTGAGCGGCTCTTGCACCGCGGGCCCTCAATAGAGTGATTCATCATTCGATTCGATTCAATCATTCAGCTGTTGCACACCTTACCTCTAAGATGACATTTAGACTACTTGGCCTAGCTTGTGGCCCTCCAGGATACTAGTACGTATAACAACCAAGACATTATTTACCACCGTGGATCGCCTCTGCAGAGAGGCTCCCTCACAATGATGTTACTCCTGATTGCACTGCAGAGGAAATCGAACTCCATGACAAAAGGGCTCGATGCTGTCCATTGCTGCTTCATCTGATCCCATCCGAAAGCAATGACCTCAAGGATTTTAATGCTTCTTGCTTGAATAACTAACCTTTGTTTCTTTTTTGTTTCGGGGAAATGGCATTAGGCTTTTCCTCTCTTCATGCACTACCTCGGTGTTGCCTGCCAATATCCTGACGCGTGAGTGCATCCTTGAACTATTCCCGAGGGATCCCAACGTGGTAAAGCACTTGAGGCGGAAGTACTACCGCACCGCAGCTGATGGTACGATCAAAAGGATCGAACCGCCTGAAGCAACTTTGCTCTTCTTTGGGGCTTGCTGATTGTCAGGTTGCATTGACTGCTGGCTTTTAAAACCTTTAGCCCTTGGCGTTGTGAAGCAGTCAATCCTTGAGTGCTGGAATCCTGATGTCAGATGTCAGACGGCTTGCTACTGTACCTTGCCAGAGTGGCTGTTCTGGTAGTTTCGAAGGAGAGGGAGAGGATAGAGGAGGACTGAGGACTGACTTGACTTGGAAGACAAGAGAAACACTCTCAAGCTAGCTAAAGTGCAAAGTTCATCGGCCTTGCTGGCTGTTTTGATACAGTCATTCAAGAATTAGAGACTGGCTTTTGTAGTCTTGAACCCTTTAAATCATGGCGTCATTCATTATTCCTTTTCATTCATGATCTTATACGAAATTTGAGTCATGAAGACCTGTGACTGGTTTCTACTTAGAACATGGTATGCCTAAGTAGGACTGGCAGGCGATTTCAAGAATAAAGCCCTCTCTAAAACTGGGTTGCTCGGTCAAGACTGGTTATCAGTTTCAGTGGATGCAGGCTCGAAGCGGCACCAAGCGCTGCAGCATGCAAGCAACAACTCAACCGAGGAACGGCAACGAGAACACGCGATACGGCAGCCAGCAACACTCACAACCCAAACAACCAAGGAGAAGAGTAAAACAGAATTCGGTATCCCACACTATCAATACCATACCATACCATTACCTGCTCAAGTAGCTACCATCTAGTTAGTTGCAATCAACAACGGCAATAGACACATACCTGATCGATCGTAATCTAATCGACCATGTCCAAGACACGAAAGAGTGAACGCCGCCATCGCGCCGCCGAGTCGTTGGGAGACCATTTTGAAGGCGAGCAATCTGCAGAAGTCGATTGTGGTTACGAAGACGAAGATGTAGCTGAGAGTTGGAGTTCACACGACATTTCCGCTGGTGCTGTCAAGCCATCAGGTAGTCGAAGTCGACGTTCGTCGACGGGAGGCGGAAGTAAGGGTAGCAGTGGCACCAGTAGTAGTCGACGACGGGATTCCGCTCGCAAGTCAGCCACCACAGCGGAAGGCCGCAGTAAGAGTCCTAGTGGCAACAGTACCAAGAGTGATCGATCAAGCCGCAACGGCAGCAAAAGGGATATCCAGTCGTCTCCTCGCCGGACTTCTGCGACTGCCGATGCTCTAAAGAGTCCCTACAAGGCTCTCTCCAAATTGACGATCGATGATGGAAGTGCGGCTGTCACTCCTCGTCGTTCCAAGAAAGGAACTAGTGCTGGCAGTGGAATCCCAAGAGCACCCGTGGCCAGTCCAGGAGGAAGCAGTCGAAAGTCAAGCAGCAGTCGTGATCGAGTAGCAGGAGAAGGGAGTAGTAGTAGTATTGGGTCTTCCAGACGAACGTCAGAGGCCGCGGGGGGCGGTGAAAATAAACTACAGCGAATACTGGAGCTCGGAAATCAATGGAAAAACATGAAGCAACAGCACGAAATGGCCGCACAACAGGCTACCTCACGAAGGGTCGACCTGACAAAGGAAATATTTTGAGAACGAGCTTCCGTCGTCACGTCAGTGCTGTACCAAACTCGTCAATCTGCTTTATATTTTTATCGATGTACCAATAGTTGATATCACCAGACCGTATCGTACTTAGTCAAAATGGAATGGCAGTGTGTTCTAATGCACTACTTGTCCTCTCACATACATTTGTTAGACAGGTGCAGTAGAAGCTATTCTGTTTTGAAACACCATTTCTAGGTGTGTTGACGTCCCGTGCTTGCATAACATGGATCCCGTGATTCAATGCTGACAGGGGCCTGTCTCAATAGGATCCCATGCACGAGCGAGTGGCAGGCACCAGCAGAACTTCTTTCCTTCGCCCTGCATGTTTCGGGGTCTCTCGATTCAAGCACCCCAAACCAAAACAACCAGCATGGGTCTAGCAAGCCACAGCGCTACAGAACCAAAGTTTCCAGTCCGTGCTGCCTTTTAGTTGCTAGCTATTATTAACATGGCCAGATAGCTACAGTATTCCAGAGGACAAGGTAACTATCTGTCCTCGTTGGCTGAAGAAGCCACTTGAACAATTCCACTAGCCAGCCAGCATCAACATCAGCAATTCGTTCGGAAGCTCCATTGCTGGGACTTTGACTCTCGGGTGGGGATGGCGCCATAGCAATTTGCTGGGTTTATTAGATCTACCTAGACTAGCTAGCAGCTACCATACATGCGGGTTTGGTTCATCCTCTTGCGACTCTCCTACTAGGTAAAATGTACTGCGCCACGATGTAAAATTCAACAGCAGTCGCTTCGCTCAGCGAGCCACAAGCAATCAAGATTAGAAAGAAGGCTTTTACTCGAGTAGCTATTTTATTCTGCGATGTGGGGTGAGGCATCCGATTCCGTTTTCTCTACCTACTGTACCAGCTTATCCTTTCCTGGCCATTAAGCCACCGGTACAACCTAACAGAGCAGAGAGAACACAGGCGTAGCTAAGAAGACATGACTCTTCTCCCTGACGTAACGTGTACCGGTACCGTACTATCGGTATGGCACTCTCACCCCACGCGATTTTTGACCTCTGATGTTCTAGGTTTAATGTGGTTTACTCGTTTGAATCTAGCGAAGCAAAAAGCTGCGGCAAAATGTTGCAATCAGCTACCGTACGGCACTCTACCGACACGGTACGTACTACAGCCAGTACATGTATGTAACAAATAACTAAATCTAACGACAGTAATGCGTGCCATTTCGCTTCTTTCCTGTGTTCATCCACTTGACCAAATGCACGCCCTTGCGATTGTCGCCTTCTCCTGCACCTCCTGCCCATCCCTTGCGACCTTTGCGCTCCATTTTCTTTGCCGTCGCCTTGGTGTCTTCATTCAACCCCTTCTTTTCCAAAGTTTGTGGCTTGTTATGAGTCCGCTTGTTCACACTTGGATCGCGCTTGCGAGATTCTTCGCGCTCTCGGCGTGCCTTTTTGCGCTTGGTCTTGCTTTGACCATCATCGTCCATGGGTTCCGCATCTTCCATCGTTGCATCGTCTTCGTCGCGACGGTTGCGACTGCGTCCTCGCTTTCGAGCGGCTTCGCGGTCCAAAGACCGGCCTCGTTCAATCATTTTGGAAGCATCCACGCCGAGGTCTTCCATTCGTTTCTCGATTTCATTCTTGTTGCGTGCTCCAGGGTCATGCTTATCCTTGGCCCTGCCACGGAATTCTCGTGGCATCATTGGACGATTGTTGGTTTTGTTGGTGTTTTTCATCAACCTAATGGTCTTTTTGCGATCTCGAATGGCCATGACGGCCGCTTCCTCTTCGCTCTCCAGATCCGACTCTTCGGGGTTCTCCATGTTGGCAGCTTCAAGTTCCTTCAAAGCTTGCTCCTCTTCCAATTCCAAGGCAGCCAGCCTGTTTTCAATGTCTGGGTCGACGAAATCAGCAATGTTCTTTCCGTCGATGATTTCGGGAATGCTGTCAAACTTCCATTCGTCTTCTTTCAAATCGTAAATGGCACGATAATCAGGAGCCCACACTCCAGGACCACCGTTCTCCCACATCAAGTCACGAGCAGTCTTTTTGACGGCGGCATCTCCCATGGTAGCGTCACCATCAGCTTCTGGATCATCGACAGTGGGGGCATATCCAGTGCGAGATTTTTGGGGCTTGGGCCGACCACCGTCTTCTTCGAGCTGTTTCTTGACACTTTCTGGAATGAAAGCTTCCCTCTGAACATTGTCGCGAGGCTGCGGCTGAAACACCTGAAGACGGTTCATGACCGAATCAATCTTGTTGCTAGCCACTCGAGCGTCTACACGAGCTTCCAATAGTTTCTCGCAAGCAGCATTCTTGACTTGGCTGACCCCATGCTCCGTGATATTGCTCATGGGCATGAGAGTGCAGTTTCCACCTCCCATTTTGACGACGCTTTCGATCATTTCTCTCTTTTCCGCCTCAAGTGTCTCCCAAGGTTGCTGATCGACTTTGTTGACTACAACGATGAGCTGTTTGTTGGCAAAGAGTGGCTTGATTCCCTGGAAAAGTCGGCATTGTTGCTCAATGGTGTAACCACAATGTTCGCTGATATCCATAATGTACAGGACTGCACAAGTCAAGTGTGCCAGGGCAATAATGGATTGCATCTCGATGGTGTTTCGTTCCTCCAGTGGATGGTCTAGAATTCCAGGAGTGTCAATGACTTGCCAACGCAAGTATTTGTAGTCGCAATGACCCACGAACAAAGACTTGGTTGTGAACGCATAAGGCTGCACTTCGACATTTCCTCTGGTGACCTTGTTCAAGAAGGAAGACTTTCCTACATTGGGCAATCCACACAGCAGCAACGTTCGAGTATTGGGATCCAAAGCCGGAAGACGACTCAGATGCTTCCTGACTTCTTCTAGATACGCCAGACTGGCTTTTTGGCGCTTGAGTACGGTGCACATGCGCCCCAAGGCAGCTCGCTTGAGGCACTTGCAGCGGTAGAGCGAGTCTCCGTACTTGACCATGCGGATCATATCTCTAGAGATTTGTTCCACGAGGCCTTTGGCAGCGTTGAGCTGCCCCAGAGCCAATTTGTAGTGGTCGCGATCGTAGAGAGTGTTGCACAAGTCTGCGTAGAAGGGATGAATATCGTTCAGACGAGGAAAATCTTGAATAATGTTTCCCAACCGCTCACTGATGGTTTGTTGCGTAAACTTGATCTTTCTCATGCTAAAGATTGAAGAAAGAAGGGAAAAAACAGAAGATCAGTAAAAAAGAACACAAACAGAGACTAGCTAGCTAGCTGGTAGTGGAGCCAACTCGCACACTTACTAGAAAGACCGAATCCTGGAAATTTTGTACCCTGGGTGAACGACTGTTGGAGTCTTCCTCTGCGTCCTCATCAACACAATGTCAACCAGGTCAGGCGCCGACGGCACAGGGCCGATGCGTTTGAAGTTGTACACGGGCATCTTGGTCCTATTCCTTTCGCTCTTGGTCTCTTCTTGAAAACAAACAGCTCTATTAGCAATAGATTAATTTCAACAACGGCCAAGTAAGTATGTGGGAGGCAAGTTGTGAGGTTGTGAGTTGGGGCTTTGGAAGGAAAGAGACGATGGAAAAGAGAAAAAGTGGGCTTGTAATCGCAGTCTCGAAATGGTTGGCTCTGGAGGACTGTGTAGAAGCCAGCGAGCTGGAAAATCGTTGAACCAGCTGAAAACGCCATTTTTAAATGAAATTTATTTGCAGCGTTGCAAGCCAGAAGCTTCAAGCTATCGGAGGAATCCCCGAGGAAACTTGGGGCAAGGCTTGCCTAGCTAGCTAGATCAAGATACAAACAGGTAGACTAAGCACAAAGTCTTCACGGCGTAAGGATTGAGAATTCCCTCCGACATCAAGTAGCTACCGGTGAAGATAGAGGTTGCGCCATACCGGTACCGTGCGTCTGACTTCTACTGCTGAATCCCAGTTTTTGGGTTGGCTGGTGGAGGGGGAACCAAACGATGGTATATTTCATTTATTTCTTATTAACAGTGTGTATCAAATCAGGGACTTTCCTTCAATGGTCACATCCAAGTAAACCGAAAACTCTCAAACATTGCCCTTGAAACATGCAGCCAGGTAGCTACCGTATCCGCATAACACTACGATTGCCGTTCACGGCCTGCCTCGAACTCAAACTGGTTCGTCGTCCGCTCGAACAATCACATCGTGCAAAACACCGTCTTCTTCAAAGAACACCACAACAACCTGGTCGCCAACGTAGAGGAGTCCATCTTGTGGCTGTGAATCCGACAGGGCAAAACTCTCCTTCTGAAGGGCAAGATGGTCCAGTCCAAAGTTCACTGCAGCAGCTCTTCCGGCATCGCTCAGGCGACGTCGGGGTTCGGGTGGCCACATTTCGAGCTCGCGTCGGTTGCCGCAACGGCAACCAGCTTGGAGATTCTCAAACGTCAAAGGGTCTGCAGCTGAGTAATCCACCCTGTACCCCAAGTCCTGCAGGGAACCAATGGTTATCTCAGAAAGAGCTGGGCTGTTCCCAACGAAGGGACCCATGAGCTCGACACTATTCGCAAAGCAATCCTCAAACCAATGGGAACAATTCGACACTGGCACAGGCATGGTTGCAGGGCATCTAGATATATTTTGATACCGGCGCGCGGCATTGGAATCGAGGCTGTACGCATTAACTGCAAGAGAGTTGCTGCAAAGTCTGGTCTCGTCCCACAAGGTCCCGAAACCCATCTATACCAAAGCCAGCCAAGGCAACATGCAAAAAACTGGGTGTTAGGGTGTTGTGATGGACTCGGCATGGAATGATTGATGGGTGGAAGGGCATCTTTCCTTACCACATGCAAGAACTCATGTAGCTGCACCAAGCAGAGCAAGAAGTTTACAAACAAACAAAAAACTCGAACGGTAAGAAACCACCAAGAAGCAACGATAGGACTGAGCACTCAAGCCCCATTCTGTTTCGTACCGCTATGAGTCTGACTCGATCTGGGTTGCCAGCCTGCGCGTTGGAAATTCGGGCGAACCCTAGCACGGTAGTGAAGTCAAATGGAAATCCAGCGCTGGCTCGGGTAAATGTGGGGCCACCGAATCCAATAACATTGTTTTGTAAGTCGGCGAATGATACACAGACAAGAGTATCATCCACAAATCGACTTCCAGTCAATCCACATCCTGTACGGTTGTTGATATTTGGCACAGTTATATCACGCAAGTCTCCAACAATGACCTGTTGTATCCTGTCTCTGGCAGCGCCAATAATGCCCTGGTTAGTGTCCCCCACATTCATGAACTCCAGTTCCAATGTGAATGGTGCTATCGATGGGGCTGAAGTGGCAGGTGCTGCAGTGGTAGGGGCTGAGGTGACAGGGGCTGATGTGACAGGTGCTGCAGTGACAGGGGCTGTAGTGACAGGTGCTGAAGTGGTTGGTAAGGTGGTTGATGGAGGCGTGGGGGCAGTCGGCGTTGTTGGGGATCTTAGTGGTGAATTGGAACAAATGCGCGGTTGAGCTGTGCGAGAATCAGAACACAACAGGAGAATCTGAGACGAAGTGTTACTTACACACTGATACTCGGTCTGAAACTGATACTCGGTCTGAAACTGATACTTGGTGATGGGGTTGGGGCTGGGACTGGTGTTTGGGCAGGCGCAGTGGTGCCCAAAAATGGACGGTCAAAGGGTGAGATGTAGTTCATATTGGCATTCGGGTCAGCTTCCAAGAGCTGAAGACCTGCACCAGCGAGTCGACTCATGAACCGGTCCAAGGAGGCCAAGACAAAAAACTCTGGCACATCCAAAAGGAAAGCAACCGAATCAACTTCCTCATATTGCAGCCTTCTCCCCGCTGTATTGAATCGATACAAATTGCAGAGATCAAACCAATCGGATAGCAAGAAAGCATTGTTATTGTCACGGTTGACTGTCCTGATAATAACGTTGTCATCAGTGGCCATTTCAGGAGGGATCAAGATACCCCCATCAGCACCGATGACACGAATCAGGCAGAAAGGTCTCATCCCATAGGTGCCCCGAAATGATGACCAGCTTGCTCGTAGTGCCTCCGCAGATGGTCCTCCTTCTTCGGCAACAGCAATCATCGGCAACAGCCCATCCAGTCCCACTGGGCTTAGTGTTGGGAACATAGTGGGTGCAGGAGATGGCGGAAGATTATTGCAAATGGTGACAATATTCGCATACTCAGCCGTGACACGAGCATCAAGTTCAGGCAACAGATTGTAGATGATCTCTTGATCCCAGCCTTGCGTCACAAGGGTAGCAGCATACTTGGCAGCAATGGATTGCGCTGTTGCAGCAGTTTCACTCCAACCTGAAAGTGCCACAGCAAAACTCTGACCCAAAACGAATCTGGCGTCAACAACCAAACTATACAACAAGAAGATACTATATACCTTGCTGAAGTTGTCGTCGCCCGAGGCCATGATTGCCAAGAAATCGAGAAGAACATTCATGGTCGTTCCTGGATCTACAATTCGTGACATCTCTTCGTTGTTTGCTTGAACTGTGTCAGTGTCAGTCGACTTGGCAACCAATCCTGCAAGTCTGTCAGTGAGGTCAAATTGCCCAACGAGCATGAGCTCAAACATGGTCTCGACGGTAAAACCTATTCCAAAGTTGATTGCAGCAGCACATGCGGGGAAAGGGACGGGTTGGTTGCCTGGCACAACAGTGCGTGTCATAAACGATAGTACTTCTCGTTCGGTGAAAAATACACCCTGGTCTCCGAACTGGGTAATATTGATGAACGCATCAACCAATCTAAGGAATTCCCGGATTTCTCTGATTGCTTCCTCTGAACCATCGTCCTCAATGTCAAACCAGATATCAAGATCAGTTGTATTCGTGTCCATGAGCAATTGGACTGCAATCGCCTCTTCCAGTGACAAGTCGCAGTAGCCCATCGTGTTGTCCAACGAGTTCAATCGGCGTTCCCGAGACTCTGAAAGCACTCTTTCCCGAAGCATCTTCCCATCTTTGGCTCCGTTCGCACCTCCAAAGCAGGCGGCTGTTAGGGCAAGCCCAACCAGCAGCATTCGCTGCAAGCTAAGCATCTTCGTTCCAACCAACATCTTCTCGAGACTCGAGAGTGATGCGATGAGACTTCCTAATATTTAGATAGTCGAACTTGCTTCGAACAGATCTACCAGAACATGATCCCAATGGACCGTTGGCAGTTGAAAGGACGCTAATTACCATGTTGTTTAGACTAAGTGATTTGGATTCTTAGAAAGTTGGCGAGGCTCGTTTACGTAATTAAGCACTGTTTCGAATCCTCAATCGAATAATTCGACAGATCGTCATCGATTGAGAGATTTGGCTATGGAAAATTCGATGAGCTGGCTCGCGGGAGGCAAAGATAGAGAAGTCGATGTGGGCCAGCCAGTACCGTAGCTATGATAGCTGGGTGGATGACACACCATAGGCATGGAATTGAAAAGGTATCTGTACTAGTGGTATTGGAGGTTTCAATCTAACAGACTCCTTACTTTAATTAAAATGAACAACAACTATCAAAAACTAGCATCCATCCATCTTTCCAAAGTTTGAGCGTTTGAGCTGTTGCCTACAGGGACCAACACCTTCTTGTTGGGAAATTGAGAAATGGAAATGGAAAAAAGAAAGAGAGGTGCAATCACTCGCTAGTGTAGAACTGGTCTCGAACGTCTTCACTGCGGCCACGCTTGGATGATAACACTGGACAATTTGTCGTTTTCTTTGAAAACCATTGCCAGGACGTACGGGCTCACATCAATACTACCGGAATCGTCACGGCCAATCTCGCCGTTGGTTTCCTTCTGCCTTTTCTTCAAGATTTTTTCGCCAATCTTCACCGCTTCCTCTGCTGCCGTCTTGGCAAGACGGCGACTATCGGCAGCTCCATCCGTTGCGTCGTTTGATTGTGACTCTCCAAGATGGCGCCGTCTACAAAGACACGATTGATCAAGAGTCGGAGGCATTGCCATGCCATAATCAACCTGATAGTGCAAGTCTTCCAAGCTTGCAATGGTTATTCGGGATAAGGAGCCAGCTTCCTCCTGAAAGCAGCTTTTTGCAAAGCCGCCACAATCGTCTTGTAGTGGGGCCCCGTCGTGGCATCCTGAAAGTGCTTGGTATTCAAAGGATGCCAATGCCATTGCGTCATAGGAGCAGGTATCACCAGTCTGATCGGTCATACGGTACGGTTCCCACAAGGTTCCAATTCCAAGCTATGGGGTTGTACGCGAAACGGTTTTATAAACGATAGTGAGAGACAAGGTTATCGATGCAGACGATACCGGTATCGTGAAGACGGTACTTACAACATGAAGCAGTGAAAGGCGCTGAGGCAGACATGGAAGCAGGAATGTAAGTATGATGTAGTGTGTTTCCCAGACCGCACAAACTAGCACTTACAAGGACTTCCTCGAGCTCGGCTTCATTGTCCAGAACGGACGAATCAACCGCGATCTCGCCTGTGATGGGAAGATATGACCCCGCTATGTTGTTCCTTACCAGGGAAGGTCCAGCAATAGCCACAACACCATCGCCATCTAGATCTCGCACGTCGGTGCACACCCACAAATCGTCTACTAGCATTGGTGTGGGTCCGCAATATGTCAGTGCACCGTTTGTCGAGGCATCAGGCAGATCACCGGTAATCGCGTTTGCCACAGAGGCGAAAGCTGAATGTGCAATCTGTTCGTTGACAAAAGTGCGCCAATCCTGGCTGGGTGTGGTGTCGATGTTGAATCCGGAATGATCGAAATCCGATCCACTCGTTTCTGCTGGAGTTGAAGAGTCACTTAGAGGTGGAGTATCCGTAGGCTCTTCTTTTTCTGGCTCCTCCATTTCTGGCTCCTCCATTTCTGGCTCCTCCTTTTCGGGCTCTTCCTTTTCGGGTTCTTCCTCCTTTTCGGGCTCTTCCCTTTCCGCCGCATTGGCACCTCCTGGGGGCGGACTGGGGTTTGCAGATACACTCGGCTTCATGCTAACGCTTGGTTTGAAACTGACGCTCGGTGCGGAGCTTGGTTGGGAAGAAAGGCTAGGCTTCATGCTTACACTTGGTTTGAAACTGACGCTCGGTGTAGAGCTTGGTTGGGAAGAAATGCTAGGCTTCATGCTTACACTTGGTTTGAAACTGACGCTCGGTGTAGAGCTTGGTTGGGAAGAAATGCTAGGCTTCATGCTAACGCTTGGTTTGAAACTGACGCTCGGCGTAGAACTTGGCTGGGAAGAAAGGCTAGGCTTCATGCTTACACTTGGTTTGAAACTGACGCTCGGCGAGGAACTTGGTTGACTACTGCTGCTGGGCTTAAAACTGATGCTTGGAGAATTGCTTGGCTGGCCGGAGATTGTTGGTTTCATTGAAATACTGGGGGCAAATGAAGTGCTTGGCATGCTGCTGGGTTGGCTACTGGTGCTGGGCTTGAAACTGACGCTGGGTGAGCTGCTTGGCTGACTGCTGCTGCTTGGTTTGAAGCTTACAGAGGGGGCTGGAGTACTTGCAACTTGGATCTCCTCATCAACGGTGAAAGCACTTTGACTGGTGGGCGCGAAGCTCTCCGAGGGCGCTTGAGTTGGTGACAGAGTTGGGCCGAAAGAGGGTACTTCAGTTGGGGTGGAGCTCGGAGTAGATGTAAGAACAAAGTTTTGATTGAGGGGATCAATCCAATTTAAGTTCACAACTCCAATGCCAGCACCTTTCAGCGTGAGGCCTGCATTGGCAGCTCTGGACAAGAAGGAATCAAAGGAAGCTTCAACATCAAAGATATGAACATCCAAAGAGATGGCAACGGTGGAAACGTCGCCCAGATCATACAAATTGCAAATGTCGAACCAATCTGATTGAAAAAACGAGTCACCTTCATCTCGAGAGACAGTCGCAATGGTCACCAATGGATCTTGCACCATGTTAAGGGGGATTTTGAGGTCACCAGTTCCAGGTCCTCCTCCTCGCACTTCCAAGACGCAGAATGGGCGGAAAGGATAGTTGGTACGGAATGAGTCGTAGCTTGCCTGTATGTCGTCTGCAGTTGGCCCGCCTTGGTCCGCGATAGCAATTACCGTAAGGAGCTGTTCCTCATCTTCCGGAGTGAGCAGCTGACGGGATGTTTTTGAGGAGTGGTCTGACCTCAGGGAACTTCCATGAACACCACCCTGAGATGCGGCAAGTAGAGAAACGACGGCAAGCCGAAGCCAGTTGCTCATGGCCATTGTAGATCAGCAGAATAGGAACGCCCAAAAGGATAAGAATGCATTGGCTTGCAGTGGACGGTGGATGCTTCCACCACAGTCGATTGTTGTGATTTTGCATCGCTTTCTCCAAACTCGTTCTCGTCTCGCGATAGTGAGACCCAATTTTGCGAAGATACTTAGGACTTCCGTAAGCTTTGGTACTTAAGAGACTGTGTGCGTACCGAGTAGAGGCAGGGGGCTCATGGATCGTGTATCCCTAATGCCACGAATCGGCAGTTAACCAAAGCAATAAAGTGACCCCTGAAGCAACAATCGAAGAACTAATAGTGTCTACAAGCCAAAACAAGCTCAAAGGGTCACTTTATCTCTTTGGTTGACCTCCGAATCGCCACTGCTCGCATCGAAGTCAAGATAAGCGCGACTGATGACGAGTTGATGTCGTTCGACGCCGGTATGGTAGTAGAGGGAAGCCACAACCAGAGCGAGTTTGGACGCTGGAGCTGCAACCACATACTAGTAGTGTTCAGTGAGCAACGCCGCAGCTGTGGCGCTCAATCTCCTTCCTGTTGTTGACCTCGCGGAGGGTGCGGCGGAGCGAAATCCTGCTACTACAACAACAACCATTCCTCGACGAGTACACCGCCTTTGAAGCTTGCGCTTGTTGCTACATCGGTAGTGGTAATATAGATGAATTATAGAACCCTTACTTGTATTTTAGAAGCGTCGTTTCATTGAGTATCAGCCTCCGGAGCATCGTCATGGTGGAGGATTGATTCGATTCGATCGATTGTTGTTGTTGCCGCTGCAGCCAACTTCGCGCCATTTCGAAAAGTGAAAAGACGCGAGCATGAGCCAAAAACGCGCGACCGCCTCCAGTTCTTCCGCGGACCGTCTCTTAATGACAGCATTCTTCTCACAATTTCAAAAAGTTTGCTCCTCCTCCGGCATACAGGGATCTCTTCT